AGCATAATAAACATATAGAGCATGTGTGCAATTTGCACGGGGAAGTAAACCGCCATCCTTTTAATCCCGATGACGATTTTGTACAGCCAAGAGAGCTCTGGCGACGGGTTAGTGTGTTTTATACTTGTATTACAAGGAAGTGCTGGATGGAGCACAGCACGCAGCGCAGCCGCACGCGTGCACGCGAAAGTCTTGATCTTGACAAAAAATGCTAGGATATTTAGGTATTAAAAGACGAAGAAAAAGCTAGATTGATTGAGAATACTGCTGGCATGCTGAAAGATGCCTCATCAGTCATCCAAGAAAAATTCCTAGAGAATTACCGAAAGGTTCGTTGAACCAACATCTCATGCGATGCAATGAGGAATGTGAATTTCTAGGTTGACCCTGCGCTTGCTGATGGAGTGAAAGAGGCTGTCGCGAAACTTATTGCCAATAAGGTTGAGTTGGCTCACTCAAATGTTTGATGATGCTATCTCATTCCTCCTTGTTGTATGAATATGTATAGTTCACTGCCTTTTTGTACAGTTTTGCATGTACGCTTTGTATAGATCGGATACCAATAAAATTTTCAGTTTCATTTTCCCCAGGATATACTACAGCTGCTTGTTATTCACAATATGTAATGGCACAAAGAAAAAGAGCTCCATAACGGCTCAAAAAAAACTTGTCGGCACTCTGCGTTTTCCTCCCTCTCTTCAATTCTTTCATACGGGTATACGTATTAAAGTAACACCCTGTGTTCTAGCCAAAAGAGAACTCACAAACATTGAGCTTCATAGACTGAAAAGTCTTGGCACATAGTGTCGTAGATATTCATAAAGCACATACTTATATTCTTCCTCGAATTCTGATGTCCTGCCGACAATGCTCGCACGGGTTCACCGCTGATGCAATATCGGTTCAAGTAAAGACAAATTGCAGGTAAGGTAGAGTTCTGCAGCTTTTCCATACAAAACCAGCACTTTTCCCACTTTGGCCATCGTAAAATCTCAGAATGGTAAAAACATTCTGCAGCTCTCATCTACATGTCATTTGCAGGCCACATTGAAGAGCACATCGGCTGAATGTAACAGGTGAGCGTGTCGATGCTGCACCGGTTGCGTTACAGTACACCCACAACAATGTAGGAAATATCGGGTCTCTTATGAGGTCCTTTAAAACTGAAATCAAAAAAATTTCAAAAGCCTGGAAACTTTGCGCTGATTTTCAAGCAAGGTGATTGCAATGGTTCCATAGTTCTTTGTATGGCACGTCTACCAAAACTAAAGTTCAAACCTTGCATATCAACGGATGTTTCGCCGGCTTCAGTCAGCTTTTTTCAAATTCTCCAAAAATTGAAGACCTCGTGGTTAATGTTTGCGAGCACTTCAATTCCAGAATTGAAAGTGCCTTTATGAAAAGCAGATCACAAAGCATGCTTGAGTTCGCTAGATTTTTTTTACATCAGCTCACTTG